CCTGTTGTACCGAATATCTATACTTTTCAAATTATCATATCGAAGTTAGAAATTCAAATATTGTGACAGAATTAATGTTGTAGGGTGCCACAAGTTTGTTAAAATTTCCAAAGGGTGCCGCGACTAAAAAAAGGTTGGGAAACACTGGCCTAACTCATAGTGCAGACTTGTGACATAACCACACACATACACAACTAGAAACACTTGCAGATGAATAAACAAATAAACAATTGAAATATCTGAGCACCAGACTCATTATATATGACATTCAGTCTTTGGCATCGTTTCAACTGTCTGAATGTTTGTATGTATTCACACGTGCAGAAGTTTATAAAATGTATTTTAACTTAGTTTGACATTTAAAGCAGCAAAAATTTCTAGATTTTCTGGAAAAAAAATAGTAAGTGGTGCTTGTGCATGCAAAACTCACTACCTCAGTTTTTTATTTTGCATATTGCTATGTGGTTGCTAAGGTTTTCTGGATGGTTGCTAGGTGGTTGTTTACTGATATTTTTGTCTTATAAGTATATAACTCATTTTATCATCTTTAAAATTAGGGTTTGTTCAAATCACTAACTCTAAGAATAATCATTAGCATATTCCCTCTAAAAAATCAGCATAATTTCTCCTGTCTTCAGTGTCACGTGATCCTTCAGAAATCATTCTAATATGCTGATTTGGTGCTCAAGAAACATTCCTTATTATAAATGTTGAAAACAGTTGTGCTGCTTAATATTTTTGTGTGATACATTTTTTCTTCAGGATTCTTGGATAAATATAAAGTTCAAAAGAACAGCATTTATTTGAAATAGAAATCTTTTGGACATAAACATTTCTTCACTGTAACTTTTCGCTGACAAAATTATCTAAGAGGTCAAAGTTCCAACAAATAAATGCAGAATCAAGAGCTTTTACAATAAGCTTTTCGTTAAACTCACAATGCATTGCATGAGAAGGCCGACTGGTACAGATGTGGTTTGTTACTTCTTTGCTTGCAGTTCAGCCTTAGGTTGCGATTCAGGTTCCAAAATCAGATTTCAGTTAATGGTCTCATGGCAAGGTGCTCAGCAGACTTTGTGGACCGTTCTGGACAGACATTTGGAAGTGCTTGTGTAAATGGTGGAGAGAGTTTGTGTTCTAGCCAATGCACAGTTATGGTGCGGTTTGGCTGTTACCACAAAGATCCAAAACCCTCATGTGAGATGACTTGTGTCCAGCATGAGCAAGAGACAGGCTCGTTCATGAAAAACTCATGGAATACTGCATGAAATTTAATTAGAAGACTGTATCTGACTAGTTAAACATATCCAAGTCTTATTATAGGCCTAACCATCAGAAAAACATACAGGACGACTTCTTCACCACAGACATGCACATACATGAAAAAGTGATCAAACTGATCTCAAAGCCTGTAAATGCCCAACATCCAATTTACTTGTTCTGCATATATGTTTTAGATGCAGGTGGATGAAAACCGAATGGAGAAGATTCGTCTGCGTCCGCTCTCAGGTGCCCATGCCGGCCGTATTCCTGTGATGGAGGGAGTGATAGAGGTGAAGTTTAAGGAAGGATGGGGTCACATCTGCAACACTGGCTGGACCACCAAGAACTCTCATGTGGTTTGTGGCATGATGGGATTCCCTTCGCAGAGAACTATGGGGAAGAAGCCAAGCAGGTAAAGGATGTTTAAAGAATACAAGGATCAAATTGTATGGTTGTCCAAAAAAAACTTTTGGACTATAATTATCAATGTTTGATTGATAGCTTGAGGAATGCTATAGGATTAGTACAAAAAGTAGTCTTTAGTGATTTCAGTTTCAACTTACCTGAAATTATTTTGAGATGGTATTTCCCTCACGCAAGTGGTTCTGTGACATCTTACACAAGATGTGGTCGCAAAACGTATTTGAAAACACTTAAGCTGCACTTATAATTTTATTGTTGTTTTTCACAGTGGTGCCATAGAAGAACCATTTTTGCCTCCCCAAAGAACCTTTCAGTGAATAGTTTTTAAAAGAACCATTACTGTCTTTTTAATAATCATTTTAATAATCTGAATAACCTTTTTCCACTTTAAAGGGTTAGTTCACCCAAAAATGAAAAATTCTGTCATTAATTACTCACCCTCATGTAGTTCCACACCCCTAAGACCTTCGTTTATCTTCAGAACACAAATTAAGATATTTTTTATCAAATCCGATGGCGTTGCTCCATTGACAGCAACGCCACCCACACTCTCAAGATCCATAAAGGTACTAAAGACGTCATTAAAACAGTCAACGTGACTACAGTGGTTCTACAACAATTTTATGAATACTTTTTGTGCGCAAAAACAAAACAAAAATAACGACTTTATTCAACAACCTCTTCTCTTCTGTGTCATTCTCATACATTGTTTACGTCCAGCGCTTCCAGGTTCTACGTCAGAGCGCTGGCTCATTATTGGACGGCTCCTGCATCAGCATCACACGCATGCGTCGTGCTGCTCACATGTGCAGCTTTAGGGGTGCAACCGTAATTTTACAAAGCTACGAGAATACTTTTTGTGCGCAAAAGAAAAAAAAAAAACGACTTTATTCAACAACCTCTTCTCTTCTGTGTCATTCTCATACATTGTTTACGTCCAGCTGATACTCTCCAAAATGGCGCTACAGGGTGACGCGGAGGAGACGAATTGTTGTTATTTTTATAAGTCGTTATTTTTTTTTGTTTTGCGCACAAAAAGGCTTCAAGCAAGAAGGCACATTTTTATCCATCGTCATCTGTTTGCATGTATAGCATAACATATAATAAATTACACTTGAAGCTTTCATAAAATTAAAAATGAAACACCCAAAACTGTATGCTGTAGTACCGAAGATAAACTGTATTTTGATACGTGAAATTCTGGAGGGAACGTCGGATAGCGTCGTGTGGGAACGTAATGACGTGTGCCATTAATCGATCTATGCACTATAACAAGTAAAACGGGAACATGAAAGGAATATTCTAAAAGCTAAAAGCTCAATGTAAACACCTTAATCATAATATTGTCTTATTCAGAATAAGGTAAATAATTAGATTACAGATGTCCAGTGTTGGGGAGTAACTAGTTACATGTAACAGAGTTAAGTAATTTAATTACAAAATACATGTAACTGTAATTTAAATTACAGTTACTTATGAAAATGTTAAAGATTACAAAGGTAGTTACATCTGAATATTTTCACACACACCCACATTCAGATTTAATTGATTTCTTTCCCAAATTGCATTGACTGCTCTAAAATATGAGACACCAATGTTTCAGGAGTTTAGGACACAGAATAGGACACGTTTATACAATAACTGTTTTATTTCTTATTCAGGTTTATGTATGTTTTTTTTAAAATTTAGATTAACTGTTAGATGCTTGTGTTTCCTTTCATACCTATGCAAAGATTTGATTTCAAAAACAGTATCATAGCTATTAAACTATATCTTGTTATGATTTTAAAGTAACTCAAAGTAAAAAGTGGTGCTAAAGTCTGATTTTGTGGTGGCTGTGCTTTAAA